ACTCGTTATTCAGTATAATAAGATAAATATTCAAAGTCAGAAATGTAAAAATATTAAATATCAGTATTAAAAGAACGACAGAGTAAACAAACAAAGAAATGTTTGGATTGCAGGAAATTATTCCTATTTGCAAATGAATCTCATAATTATGTCTTTAAGTATAAGAATATCTGATACAGATTCAGCATGTAGACAGAAGAGCTGCTGTTTGGTTATACAAACTTCCAGCATTTAAACATATAAACTGTCCAGCTTTTGTCCATGAAGGCTCTTCCAAAGTAGTTTCCATGGTTACAGGTTGGATGTCTGTCCTGGGACGGCTTTGGCATCCAGGTAGCTGATGAGCTGCTTCACCCAGGGGGCCGAAGGTCTGACACACAGCTGTCGGCCTGCCACTGTGTTCAGCCTGAAGGTTCACAGAAAGAGGAGAGTCAGAGGATGGAGGGGCAGGTTTGGTGATGGTGGTGATGTGTGTTTGTGAGGTTGTGTACTTACAGGATGGCGGACTTGGAGCAGCGCTGGCTGGTCTTGACGTAGCTGACCACTCTTCCTTTAGGCACTTCCTGGTCATTGAAGCGGAAGCAGCACTTTTTTGGGCCAGCACCGCGCATACCTGCAAACAAACAGGAACAAGTTAACAACTGAGCCACTGACACAGCACCACATCATCTGCTTCCTGGTTTTTGTTCCGATTCAGTTTCCTGCTGGCTGGTGTGAGGTCACATCTGATACTGTATGTTTAGTTGACGACACTGTGCAACTGCTCATTTGTTCCCCTGAGTTATGAAGTGGTCAGATTTGTCATGTGACCTGTCCTCTGTTTACTGTATCTATGAAGTAATATGTTAATATTAAGTTTAATGCTGCATTAACATTAATTATTTTCATATTGCACATTAGAATGGACTCTTTATCTTAGACAAACTACTGAATGCTACAGCTTCAATGGTTCATGACTTTAGCTTCAGAAATAGAATTTCTTTCTAGTAACTCCTATGAATGAAAAAGATTGAAGAAAAGTTTCATACATTGTTTATCAAAAATAAAATCAATAGCTTGCTATTAATGGTCTATTAGTTTGTAAATAAAACAGCCAAGAATTATTGTTGCTGTGTAATAAAATTAATGATTTGAGTGATTTGTTTTTGTTTTTCTCAATTAAAAATTAAAAAAACATTTTTATTGTTACGTATAAACGCTGAATATCATATTAATATTAATTTCAAATTGTTATTCATCACACAGTGTAAAGGTCAGATCATTAAAACGAGCCTTACCCTCAGTCAGAGCGATGACAGCCAGCATGAGCACAACCACAGACAGAGCGAGACGAGGAGCAGCCATCCTGAAGTTTGTTTGTTGGCTTCGTGTTGCAGCAGTGGATTAAAGTCTCAGCTGAGCTCTGTCGGCTTGTTCTCTGTGCTGTGTCACTGCTGTCCACCTGCTTCACATTTATACAGTTGGAAGAAGAAGCGGGGAGACCCTGTTGTGCATCTTGGAAAGTTTGTGACGAGTCGAGTTTCACTAAAATGAGGAACTGTTTAATTTCTCTTTTTAGTACGCCTCTCTATCACGCTGACACTGCAGACCTTTCATTGTTGATGCAGTGTGAAACAGTTCAATGTTTATAAAAAGGACATATATCAGTATTCAGACATGTATTTGTTCAACCCCGTGGAGTTTCCCCTATATATGGATTAATATGGACTTACCTGCCTGTCGCGTTCTCTTTATGCTAAGAGCAGTCCCACCTTTCAGCCACTCTGCACATTTCGAGCTTTCTTAGGGTAAACTTTTATTCTGAGTCGATTCCCGTGTCTGAGTCCAGCTGTTGTCAAACTGTAACAGCAACATAAGTGATACTTGTTTTACAGTATTGGAGCGCTCTCATAGAGCAACTTTATATGAAGAAGAGCAGAAACAAATGTTCCTCAGATTTTAACCTTTTTCTCTCGATGTGGCTGAAACACAGTCTGGTGAACATCCAGACAATCAGTTAATAGAAGAAGATGAAATGGGTTGAAGATGGACTTCAGGAGATTTCAGGAGTGAAAAGTCCTGAAATCACCAAAGCATTTGCTCATAGCAGGTCATGTGACTGTGGGGGTTTCTATGTTTACCTTGTATTATTGTAGGGTCTTTATCTTATAAAATAAAGCGCTTCAAAGCAACTGTTGTTGTGATTTGGCGCTATATAAATAAAGTTGAATTTAACTGCTTTAAACCTGCATTTCTTCTAATGACCAACAGGTGGAGCCACTCCTGTGGTTTCAGAAAGAAGTCTGCTATAAACGTCACTGTAGCTGCTTTGTTGTGTGACCTCAGTAAAAAGTTTCCTGGTGGTTTGATGGTCTCAGCTGATATTTTCAAGTCCCCCGAAATATCACATAATGTTCATTTTGTACGTTGTGGTTCCCACTAGTGTAACAAGGATCATAAAGCCAGGTGTGTTTTAGGGTGGGCTTAGCTCGTGTGGTTGATAAATGCTGAAAACTGACAAAAGTCTCAGCTTCATGCTTCACACATGCAGAACTATCACTGGGTGATGTCTGGGTGGCTGTGCCCACCTGGTGTATTTGTTTAATATACAGTCTGTGGATAAACTAGTACTAAAAACTGTCTGTGCTGAATTTTTAACATGTACAGAAAAGCAGCAGGGACAATGTGCATCACCCTCACAATGTTGTGTAACAAGTGACATTTGTCATGCACATCTGCACGCAGGCTAACTCCATCCATCACCTCTCTCTCTCTCTCTCTTCTTTTCACCGTCACCACTGAAAACAAGAAGAGGCTCAGAGGCACTCTGCTCCAAATGGGACCAAAAGTAGATCTCTCTGGTCTGTCCAATTCCTATGCTGCTTATCTATTCTGCAGACCACCAACGGTGCATCTTGGAAAGTTTCGTTGTTGAAAGAGGAACTGTTTAATTTCTCTTTTTAGTACGCCTCTCTATCACGCTGACACTGCAGACCTTTCATTGTTGATGCAGTGTGAAACAGTTCAATGTTTATAAAAAGGACATATATCAGTATTCAGACATGTATTTGTTCAACCCCGTGGAGTTTCCCCTATATATGGATTAATATGGACTTACCTGCCTGTCGCGTTCTCTTTATGCTAAGAGCAGTCCCACCTTTCAGCCACTCTGCACATTTCGAGCTTTCTTAGGGTAAACTTTTATTCTGAGTCGATTCCCGTGTCTGAGTCCAGCTGTTGTGAAACTGTAACAGCAACATAAGTGATACTTGTTTTACAGTATTGGAGCGCTCTCATAGAGCAACTTTATATGAAGAAGAGCAGAAACAAATGTTCCTCAGATTTTAACCTTTTTCTCTCGATGTGGCACACAAGGGGGCAGGAGGTCGAGTCGGAAGTGAGAGGAGAGGCAAAATTCTCTTTTACATTTGATTTAGAAGAGCCGCTTAGATTTAAACAAATCGTTTACGTCACAAGATTGGCGTCTATTACTTCCATATATAATTTTCTCGATGTTCGAGGCTGACCACTCAGTCTGGTGTTAATTCATTACCCAGATTTTTACCACAATGACATGTTAGTTTTATAAGATCAACTCAGAAAGAATACGCAAGGTACGCGGTGTGAAAAGCTGATGGTGATCTTATATTATAGTGGAAGAAAATGGTCCTGGCAGAGATGTGCAATAGAGACACGTTCCTGAAAGTCCACAAGCATTTTGCATCATACCTGGAAGACAGAATCATTCTCGAAAAAAAGTGACACTCTTGTGGTGTGTTTGTTTTTTGTTTTAGCATAATTCCTACCATTTCCCATTTTGGTTCTTCTAGCTAATATGCTTACAGAGGGTCTTTAATCTTATAGGATATACATTAACATTCTGGTTTCTTCTTTTAGCCCGGTTTTGTTTGTGTACTTTGGCCGCCTTAGGAGTTTAGGCTAGTATTTTTATGGGTAAATGTTGAAATTTTAAATTAACTTTAGGGTTGTCTAAAGGACTTCCTTATGTCATTTCTTTGCTATAATAGTACATCCTAGGTGACGAGAGTTGTGTTTTGCACTCTGTGGTTTGGATCAGAAAACGAGACGAATTTGTCTCATAACCGTTCACGTTCATTTACTACGTACTTTTTGCTTTGGACTCTTTGTTATGTGCTTGGACCCAATTTGGGCTTTTTTCTTCTTAGTAAAAGTTGGTCCTCGTCGTGGGAAATGATTCTGAATCGGAACTCTCAGCTGATATATTTCATAGGTCCTCATCGCTCGCCTTCAATATCAGCACTAACAATAGTTCATGGCATTATTGTGGGTTAGCTGTTGGGTTCACCACTTAGTTTTAGTAACAAGGACTCAATAGATGTTTGCCTAGCGCTGGTTTGGGTGTAATATTTTCGGGTGGAGCTTAGCTCTGTTTGTTTTGGAGTTATTCGCACTAAATGATGAACATAATTAAACAAACATTGAAAATAGGTCTCGGGTACTTCTACACTTGTCGAGGTTGGCTTATCAAAATCACAAATTGCGCAATCTAACTCCAACTAACTTTACTGGAGGTGTCGAGATATGTTTTGGGAGGTGGAACATCGCTGACCTTTTCACTTTGGTCTGCTCGAGTAGTAAAACTTCGGTATGTATATGGTTATAATTATTATGTGTGGTATGTAGATAAACTCATTGTACTAGGACAAACAACTCGTCTGTGCTGAATTTTTTGGAACCTTACCTGTAAGACAATAAGCAAGACATAGACGAGGGAAGGATTATTGGTGCAATCACTCCAGTTCATCTCGAAATGTTATGTGTAAATCAAGTGACATTTGTCGATTTGCCCACATCATGTGGCCCATCGACATTATGACGGCTTAAATCTCCATCCACTCCCGCGCTCATATACTACGTTAATTCTTCATTTTCGAGAACACATCTTCCAACTATGACGATGGATCAAAAGTTTTAAGATATTTTGTGCTAAATGTGTTGATTTGTGCCAATTGATTGTTATTCACTAATTGGTCAATGGTTCTGCCACGAAACCTCACTACACGCGCAATTTATTTCCGTTCCACCCCCAATCCTCCGTGTAAAACAGAAGCACGCAATAATCATCTTTGATTGAAGTTAGCACACTCACACACCACTTATACATCTCGCAGTGTTTCGCTGAACTCGTTTATTGGATAAGACCACAGATAGGTCGCCTGAGTATCCATTATCACCTTAGAAAAAATCACACTGCTCTAACACGCACAAATCACCGTCTTAAACAATCAAGTGTCACGAAAATGAACACCACTTTTTGATCGATCGAGTAATATTCCTCACACAGCAACACAGTTCATCTCTTTGGCATTCACGAGTCATTTAGATTCACTTGCTTAATACGTACATTCTCAACACACTTCAGTGGCTAACACTCCTTCGTTCTCACCACTACTCGTCCTAGGGTCTTCATCTGGGCCGGAATTTCTCCAGAACCCAGGTCAGACTGACTACTTTTCAAATATTTATCTATTGCTATGAGGCATTGCGCGGTCTCTCTCGTAGCCTGACTATGCAATTTCTTCTTCGTCTTCTTCAGTTTTACAGGTAGAAGTTTTACTTTGCTACCAATTTAATTAGAGCACGTGGCTGTACTGCCCTCTAGTGGACGAGAATGTATTTTTTCTGCCCATTACACACGCTTAGAATTTTAAACTCAGTTTTAAACATGTTGCTGAGTTTGTTAAATGACACAAAGCAAAGCCAAGAACCTTGAAGTCATTTTTGACCAGGACATGTCCTTCAACGCACATATTAAACAAATATGTAAGACTGCTTTCTTCCATTTGTGCAACATCTCTAAAGTTAGAAATATCCTGTCTCAGAGTGACGCTGAAAAACTAGTTCATGCATTTATTACTTCCAGGCTGGACTACTGTAATTCATTATTATCAGGATGTCCAAAAAACTCGCTGAAAAGCCTTCAGTTAATCCAAAATGCTGCAGCAAGAGTCCTGACAGGGACTAGAAAGAGAGAGCATATTTCTCCTGTTTTGGCTTCCCTTCATTGGCTTCCTGTTAAATCCAGAATTGAATTCAAAATCCTGCTCCTCACATACAAGGTCTTAAATAATCAGGCCCCATCTTATCTTAATGACCTTGTAGTACCATATCACCCTATTAGAGCACTTCGCTCTCACACTGCAGGCCTACTTGTTGTTCCTAGAGTATTTAAAAGTAGAATGGGAGGGAGAGCCTTCAGTTTTCAGGCCCCTCTTCTGTGGAACCAGCTTCCAGGCTTACAGAACTCATCTCATTTTTCTCCTGCTAGTTTTTGGCTATTTCGGACTAACGTAGCAGTATCTATCATGTCCTACCATCCTTCTACTTTTTTTAGTATTTTAGGTTCTATGAACACTAGGGAGTTTTTTCTACTTGGTAGATTGCTTATTGTCTTACGAAACAAAGTGCTTGTGTGCTTCAAGTTGTTAGAGAAATTTGTGAAGGGGGGATTCCATCCGAATATGGTAGGTTTTGGTTCAACCATGAT